AATATCTTTCTTGAAACAAAGCTTATAGGGCTGAGTTCAAAATGGGACTGGCTTTTTCGTCCCGTCCCGTCCCGCTGTGGCCCACGTTAAGAGGAGCAACAAGACAAAAAAGGAGAGGGACAGAAGCCCCCAGTGCTGAAAGCTTCATTCAACCTTACACCGCCAGAGTTTATATCGTTACCTGAGATATGTCCGTTCTATAAATACCTGTTCAGCTGTTTAGTGCCACGTTTAAATCGCATCCTGGGAGTTTTTGGTGGATGATACCCACAAGCGAGAGCGTCAGCCATTTTTTTTTTGGTTATATATGCTGTGCTGGCTTGGAGAACAAGTGTTGGGATGAGAGGGTTTGGGACGAGGTTTGGTGCCCAATAATTACTTTGCGACTTCCAGTTGTCCGTTACTTCTGTTTTGCGGGCGAAAGGAGGGTGTTGGATAGGAGTTTGTGCTAAGTTTGAAGGGTTGCTTGCACGTATCAAGGGCAAACTACAAATCTACGCAATTATAGCTTCTTTAAACTAACAGCTGATTGTCCCCCGTTCTTACGGATACTAAACTGCCACTGGGAGGATGTCATATGATCCTACAATGAGATCTGAAAGGCCTGTCCCAATCTCATCCTCGGGCTCATGATTCATCCCACATTGCCCCTAAGCTTCTCATATCAGAGCACCACAATAGAATCAGACTACTGCAGGTCTACATGGAGCCAGTTTGGAGAGAAAGCGCACATGTGTATGTTGAAAACTTGAGAAGTAAACACATTTGTGTGTTTTGTTTCTTGGCAACAAGTGAAGGCTGCTGGCGACAGGCAAAAGAACATGATCCTCATGGTTTTTGCAACTTACCAAACAATGACAAGTTGCGTCGTATCTCCACGATTAAATAGCATTAGGGTTAATATTCTACAAAGCTCCATACCGGACTCAGGAAGAGTGTAGACATACTGCTCGAACATCCGGAGGATTTCTTTTTCTACAGCCAACACAGGCATGTATGAGACCTTCGGGCGGTGGTTATATATACATCAGTTACAGCGAGGATTCTTAGGCCATCGTTCATTGCAAACGCAACCATGTTAAGCAGAAAATATGCCCTGAATTTGAATGCAGAGTACATGCAGCATAATTCTGGTTTGAAGGTGTCTGGACATATGAAAGGAGACCGTTGGTTGAGCGATGTCGGTGTCGACATGATGCTCTGCTTTATTAGTCCAAGGAATCGCTTGTGTGATGGTGTATTAATGGTCTTTTTATGTGACCTTAGCAATATCAATCATGTTACCGCAAAATAAAAGCGTTTGACTCGGTAGCGGAAGGGTGATAATATCATCAGTGTATGTATTTCGGATCGGAGACGGCCGACATCGGGCATGAGCGGATGTCCGGCTTGGCTCCACAAGAACCGGCATGGCAGTCACGGACGGCCCCGCACCGGTCCTTCCTTCCTTCCTTCCTTCAACGACGTTCAACTCCCTAATATTTTCGGCAAGAACATCCAGGGCCTTATGGCGACTTAATGAGCCAAGATAACTTCTCTTTAGTTGCAATGCGCTTATTCTCTACCGCAAAATAATGTTCCACTTGTGATACTTATATTATCCTCCACCACAACAGCCCAGCCCTCAATACGAGATGAATAGGGAGAGTTACATCTGTTCATCAATAGATCATGGCAGGGCTCAGCTCGGCCCTTCTACCGAAGTCGGCATGTTGCGCTCAAACTCTCCTATTGTGCTTGGTGGTGGGCTTATTACAGTTCAATAATTCGCGTTGTGGTAGAGGGGAGTGAGGGCGAATGAGTTTGTGAAAGCTGCTTTGATCACAACAATAGAAGAGAACCAAATTATGGATCCCTGAGATCAACCTCACCCTTTGTTCTGCTGCTGCCTGGGCCGAAATCTCTTGAACCTTCTCCTCATCCACCCACCCCTCAAAGAGCGCAACACTTTTACCAACGCCTCTCTCACACCCAACCAAGATACCCCCACTTCTACTCTTCTACTCTTTCACTTCTAACCTCTTCTCAACTTACCACTTATCATGCGATGAGGCTATCACGCAGCCGTAGAGTTCGAGCTGATCCGCATCGTTACAAAGATCCAGAGATGGCTTCATCAAAAGGAAACCCCCCTACCTTGGTCATCGGCATCGACTTTGGCACAACGTAGGAACACCCTCAACTACCCCTTATTCTATTCCCCCTTCATTTGCTAACATCTTCATCATCAAGCTACTCAGGTGTTGCCTGGTTGCTGTCTGGCAAACAGGAGGCGATACAGGTTGTGACAGATTGGCCTATGGTCAATAACTACCAGGCAGATAGACCAAAGGCACCGTCTACAATATTCTATCGCCACCTTGATGACAAGAACCCATCATGGGGGTTTACTACCCCTCAAGACGATTGCGTTCTGCGATGGTTCAAACTACTACTCATCGACGAGAAGGACCTTCCTGAGAAGGTCCGAGAATCCTCTCAAGTCAAGGCTGCACGAGCGCTTCTGCACAAGTACAACAAAACGCCTATTCAGGTGTTTGCAGACTATCTGATCAATGTTTGGGCCCACAGCTATCCCCAGATTGCAGCGGCAGAGGGAGATCATTTTGCCAGGGTCTACCCGCTTCACTTTGTGGTTACTCTGCCTGCAATTTGGCCTCATTATGTGCGAAAGAGGATGACCGAGGCTATGCAGCTTGCCGGACTCTTGGAATCTTCCGCAGTGGGAAGCACTAAGATCAGTTTCATCTCTGAACCAGAGGCCGCTGCCTTGACCTCGCTCAATGAGAACGCGGGTCGGTACGAGAACGAGGTAAGATTGCACACAATTCCCAGTTTGGCGCTCTTAACCTTTATTAGGTCGGAAACCACTTCGTTGTCTGTGATGCAGGTGGTGGTACTGTCGTGGGTTTACACAATCCCTCTCCTTTCTTCCTTTTTGCTATATAGTTTCTTACAGGGTCTAGGATATCATCACATATAAGATCGAAAGTCTTGAGCCTTTCAAAGTCGTCGAAAGCGTCAGGGGAGACGGTAAGTTATCCGTCTACTATCGTCTGTCCTGTCTAATGCTTCAAGGGGGTCTTTGCGGTGCCATGTTCCTTGATGAGAATTTCCTCAAGATGCTCGACCAGAAAATTCCGCTTGAAACTCGAACGAAGCTCAAACGCCAGGGGATTCAGAAAATCATGAAAGACGAATGGGAGTCAGGGATTAAGACTTCGCTTTGCAAGGCAAGCAAGAAATAGGAGATTCCCTTGTCCTACAGCGAACATGTCGATAAAGATTTCTATCCCTCAAAATTCACTCTCCAGGCGTACGTTTTTGCCAACAGGATTCATCTCGAGATCCATTCTGGTTATAACTAACTTTTCATCTAGACAGCCTATTCGTACACAGGTTTACAAGCCTGTGGTAGATCAAGTTTTGCAACTTGTTAGGGGGCAGATCAAGCAGGTAATGAAGGAACACAACACGACACCCAAGGTAAGTTGTTCGGTCTATAATTGTAAGGCATACTGATTTGAAGTAGTTTGTCTTGTTGGTAGGCGGTTTCGGTAGGTCTCAGTACCTGAGGGAATGTCTTCGGGATGCCATCCCAAGAAAAATAAGTGTTCTCCAGAAGAGAGGAGGTGATCCGTACGTTGACCCTAGCGCTGGCAACTTTCCCCTACTTACTGACTGTTCAGGTGGGCCGCCGTCCTACGTGGTGCCGTTCTTCATGGCTTGTCACGCAGTGGCGTGTCAGATACTATCGTTGTTGATTCTCGCGTTTCGAGATTTCATTATGGCACGCTTGTCAACAAAGTGCCTTTCAACCCTGTGGAAGACGACCCAAGAGATCGAGAGTACAGCACGTACGATAGAGCTTTCATCGCCGCTGATCAGACTGAATGGTTTGTCCAAATTGTACGTGCATTTGCTCGCTCACCCTCTTTTACCCAAGTCAAGGCACTTACTTGTTACTCAGGATGATTCGGTATCGGCTTACAAGCCAGCTGTCTACAAATGCCACCAAGATCTTACGAGCCGAGAGCAGGCCATTCAGGTCGATATCGTAACTTCTGATTGCTCTGTGCCTCCCACTCGTTACGATGATTCTGTCAAAAAGCTGTGTACGATCAAGGCGTCAGAGCTCCCCAATTGGACCGACCTACCGATACATACCAGCGAAGACGGTCATGCTTTCCGACATATCGAGTACGATCTGCGCATGTTAAGTGATGGATCATCTCTTGAATTCAAGATTTGCTACAGGGATCAAACTCTCGCATCTGAGAGCGTAATGTTCGATTCCACCATCCAGCCGAAGGAAAACAGAGGCAAGTTGAATGGCAGGGCAGACACTACCATGAAAGATGCGCCAGATGAACTGGATGCAAAACACGAAGCAATTCCAAGCATTAACGACAGCGACGATGAGTATGTGACTGGTGTAGACGACAACGGAGATGAGAGTAGCGACGACTCGGACAGCACCGAAAGGATGGACTGCGACAGCGATGAGGACGATGAGTGAACATGCTCATATTGAGGGCACCAACAAGCTGCTTGCGACATTGAGAGGGTCTACTTTGGGAATTAGGGGTATTGATGCGAAAGAATCTTCGTCAAAGAAAGCATCCTTGACGGCAGGATGCAAATAGTCTCGCATCTGGTTGCTATAGTCATTTCATTTATGATCCAATAATATGTTGCTCGCTAGACACATGACTAATGTCGTGTCTTGAAACTGCTGCATTTGTTGTCCAAGAAGATATAAAGACGAACTCTTTCATGTTTAGTTTAATACCAAAATTAACACTTCAAAACACTGAGTAGCAACATCATAGTCAGTCATACTGCTGATACATCGTCCACTCAGTAAATCATGTGCTTAATGTCTCGTACAGAAGGTAGAGAGGGTCAAGGATGATGTGGGATTCTTTGGTGGAGCCAGGCTTCTGACATTTTTGTAGCCTGGATATAGTTAAATACCAAACCCTACTCTCAACCAAGAAAGCAGCTTGGCGCAGTGGAAGCGCGGTAAGTTCAATCACACATTCTGTGTTACAGTACAAATGTACTAACTTGCCTTAGCCGGGCTCATAACCCGGAGGTCACTGGATCGAAACCAGTAGCTGCTACGTTACAATCTTTTTTTGAGGTTTTCTTGCATTTAACATGTATGACTCTTTTTTACTTGCAGTTCTTTTTTTAGTGTGTGTGTTTGTGAGATGATGCCTGCTAGCTTAATCTGGTATTGCTTTAGTGTGTGCTTGGGATGTTAGGTTTAACCTATACCTAGGATGCAACAAGTTGTCTTTCAGACTATGGTGAGAAACCTTAACAGGATCTATTTAATTACTGAATGGATGGAAAGGGAAGAAAATAACAGTGCACGTTAGTCTATATTCTCTGTGAAAAAGAGCCCAGCAAGCTCGCTGAGTTCAGAATAGTAAGATGTTAGGTTCGTCTATGGAATATACAAGATAATTACTTCGACAGGGAAAGGAAACCTTTAAAGTTTCAATCTGCCATATGAATTTAATAACTAGAAAACTTAACATTTAGCGGTAAGAGGGTTATACTATAAAGGATTAATATACAAAGTCTTTCTAAATATTATAGTTAACTATAAGTATAGAATATATTATTATAGATATTCTTAAACTATATATATTAAGGACCTAGAACTAAGATTAAAAACCTAAATCTTTAAGGTTTTAACTAGGCTAGTCTTACCAGTGGCTTAATAACAATAAATTAGAGAGCTCTTTTATTCTAACAATAGTCTATACGACACCAACCAAGGCCCTCTAGTGATATATTGTCATGCATACTGTTTCAGTACAAAACCCTACTTTGCGAGCAATGTCAGTTATTAAACCCGCTGCTTTATAACACAGCACCAGAGACTGACAGCCCATTTAAGCCAGAGCAGCCTGCGCCTAGCTCTATCTTCTGATATAATAGAGCTCGCGTGTCTACTGCACTTACAATATGTGCCCTCACAATGACTGACCAATCACACAAGAACAACAGCGTAATTGGTTTAGTGGTAAAATTCTCCGTTGCCATTTACATGATATCGGGGAGCCCTGGGTTCGATTCCCAGATTACGCAGTACAAGATGCCTAGAGCATCCCGTCTCTTTTGCAATCTGACCTGGTTGCGTTCTCTTTTTCTCTTCTGCGAACCTTCCGTGCTTGGTCGACTTGGATGCTCATACTGCATCATCTGTCACAATAAAGCGTAATTGGTTTAGTGGTAAAATTCTCCGTTGCCATTCGAGCAGCGTCGGGGAGCCCAGGGTTCGATTCCCTGATTACGCATAATCAGGCGCTGTCAAGCGTTGTATATCTTTTGCTCGTTGGTGTTGGTGTTGGTGTTGAGCTGAGGCTGTTGTTCTTTTGGTGGTTTTGTTAAAGGTCACGTGCCCGGGAACTAAGTGCGGAACGTGGTCAACCATGTGGCTATTTAGCTTCCGCCTTATAAAAGATATGCAGTCATCAGTCAGTTATGACTGGCCCCCTCTAGCTACCGGTATCGACAGACAACGTTCAACGGGATAAGTTTTCCACTTAACATCACCTGAGCAATCGAGATTTCGACCGCTAGCAGTTGTACGTTGACCGTTGACCGTTGACTGTTTGACCCGAATCAATATGCTTAGATATCATTCGAACAATTGAGCATCAGCTACAGCCTACAGTACCGTCCCCAAGATGTCTCCTCCGCATCAACATGACGACCAATATCAAGCCTTGCTTCCACAACAAGCGTAATTGGTTTAGTGGTAAAATTCTCCGTTGCCATTTGAGTAACATCGGGGAGCCCTGGGTTCGATTCCCAGATTACGCAACAATTTCTCAGTATCATTTCTGTTCTTTTTGCCATCATCGTCTTTTTCCATGGTCGAGCTGTCCTGCTCAACTTGACGGCCAATATACCGTAAATTACACATCGAAGCGTAATTGGTTTAGTGGTAAAATTCTCCGTTGCCATCGGGGAGCCCTGGGTTCGATTCCCAGATTACGCATTACAAGTTTCATTTTTGACCTTGTGAGAGGCTTTGCTCGTGATAACTTCATTCTCCTTTTTATACTGGGTCTGCCGATCGTTCTTGTGCTGGCGTGGAGACAGGAAGAGACCGCTGGGCAGGAGAGAACATATCGAAAAGCCTCCAGGGAGGAAAAGGAGTCAACATGCAAGACCTATGAATGCGAATAAGCCTACCCGTAAATCTGCTTGGCTAGAGGTTAGCGAGTCTATTATATTTCGGTTATCTAGTGGCTAGACTCATGACCTTTGGACTCCCATCCTGACCTGGAGGGTGTTCAGTTCATGAGATGTTGGAAGAAAGCAACCGGGAACGATAGCACTGGTTGCGCAACTAGTGAAAGGTACACTACATAATGCTTGCCTGAGCTTCCACTAAAGTCTGAAAGCGCGCTGCGTATTGGAGGTACTATGATATCCGAGAGGTGAGGTATGTGTGGTGATGCAGAACTTTTGACGTAGCCGGAGGTGGAAGACAAGTAAAGGCAACGAACGCATGTGTAACTGCAGTATCTACATCAGCAAACACGTTATATTGTGTAAGTGAAAGTGGTTCAGCTACTCTGGTGTGGCTTCTTGGAACCTTTGCATCAGAGACTGCACATCTAGTCAATGTATATGGCCATAAGCATTTCACCTTCATTGACTACATAGAAACATGGCAGTACTTTGTTATCACAGAAACCTGGCGTCTTGACCACATGGGCTCTCCATAAGTTGCATATTGCGCAGTTATATACATGTGTGTGTTTCGTTTCCATCTCCTTGTACTTTAGTTATTCACCTGGTCAAATACACATGTTATCATAACATGAGTCTGTGATATCGTGGTATATATGCAAGATGTTCATATCATTCGAAGGCCTTCTTTTACATATCCTTTTCCTTTTCGTAGCATGATCTCTATTATACAAACACATATATTCCATCAACGATACTTCACTTCCATAAGAACATCTCATGTGTTCACAAAACCTTGAACTTCACTCTGACATTGACATGTGTTGTACCACGCTTATATAATCTTACACAACATTGTCTTGTTAGTAAACAGTACAGGCTTAAACAAATATAGATGTGTTATGAAGTGCAAGACCCAAGACACTGGCCGACATGTATGAACTGATCATGCTACTATCCACAACATCAAATAGCTCTCTTATCCACTGCCTCTTCCCATCCCAGGTATTCTAAAAAACACCACCAATCATCACCCAGCAATAACACAAAGGCCTCATCCTATACTAAGCCTCCGCACTGACTTCAATGGGACTCGGCAGCTCTTCACCACAAAGTCATCTCATCCCAGCTTAACTCCTTCACTCCTTCGGCATCTCCATTAGCTCATAACCAGAAACACAAAAGCATTGTTTTCAATACACGTAACAAGAATAACTTTTAATCTTCCTCAACCCCATCTTCCCTGTTTGTTTTCCGTTCAAGAAACCAGATTCTTCTCTTTGCCACAGTCGAACCTGAAACTCCGATTCTCAGCTGACGTGATGGAGGGGGAAAAGAAATCCACATGCTCAATGCTATTCTCGTATTTCCCCCATCTAACTTACATGAAATCGACTTGTGTTGTCCCAAAACCGATCCGTTGAGATCTAACCCGAGCGTCCGTTTCACAGCAGAGCCCGCCCGGACCAGGCCTTGCCCGGAGCCGAGGGATGAAACTCCTTCTGGTCGGGATATCGCAGCGACGTCGAGACTTGTCACTCATCCTGCAGCTGTACTGTGTGTGCCAAGTCTTGGGGGGTCGGTGCTTTGATAGAGAAGTTGTTTTAGTATTCTACCTTGAGTTCACCTGGGGGCACGTACCACGATGGGAGTGGTGCTTCAAGCTTGGGGATTTATCCAGAATAGCTTCACCACTGAGTCAGGTCTTGTGGAGTCGTGGGACTAACAACCCAGAAGCTCTCTCTCTTTGACTCTTTGACTCTTATCAACAAAATCTTACAAAGTCCCTAGATCCTGGTGCTCATCACTCACATGGCTGAGTCGATCTCGCCGGTCTTCATCTTCATATACATGAGCACAGCTAAACCACGCGGGTGCAATAAGCGACCTGCGCTATGGCAGACTCAAAGATTGGTCCATGTTGTTTTTAGTATAGGTACGCACAGAGCTAAAACATCAAACATAGCAATTGATATCGCCGATCACCAGAAGCAAGACTGTTTGTTTAATCTCCCCCAGACGAGCATCACCAAGCCCCCCAGTCGCGTAGAGTATCGAGTATCGAGTATCTCTACAGTGCAGACCTTGCGTGATGCTGATCGTCAAGATTATGTTTCAGGGTCCATGAACCTCTATCCATTTCCAACGCCAACGTCAACGCCAACGTCAATCTGCCTTGCGAGAAAGAAAGAAATGCGGGTTTGGATCAGCGACAGTTGATTACGCTCTGCCCATCTCTATTCCCACAATGCAACGGTCTCTACTCCGTATCTCTACAGTGTATTCCCATGGTCTGGTGAAAGACGGTAACGTCACGATTCTGACCGCTTCTTGAAGGCGTTATTTGACGCCCTTCTAGAAGCGGGAACAACAACTAACGTTGACTAGAAGCACTATTGAACGCGCCACGGACCAACCTAACGTGTTCTTCTCGTCTCCCCTGAGAAGAACCCTGATTCTTTTCTCGAACTGCGCCCAGCCACAATTTTCCCAGTACTCGGTACTCATTCACAGTACCGCGTCTCATGCAAGACACAAGAAACGCAGCATCCTGGGAGCGGTCCAAGCGAAAAGGAAATTGAACGAGCGTCCGTCTTTTTCTTTTTAGCGGGCGAGGGCCCCTGCAGGATCACATCACGCGAGTTTCCTACCGCTACGATCATCTGTTGGTGCGTAGTAGTAGTAGTTGATTGGTACTCTGTATCTGTACTCTGCAGAAAGTATTCAAATCTCTGGTTATTAAATCCTTTATTAAATCCATTTTTAATTCTGGACACCTTCGCGCCTTGTTCTTAGAAAGGACACTGAGACAACTGACGCTATCTGACACAAACATTTGTCTTGTTACAGAGTAAAGTAAAAAAAGGGAGGCTAGTATCGGAGCCAAGAGACAGAAAGTGGACAA